TTAAACTATCTTTCATTTCATAAAACAATTATATAGATCAAAGTAAAGGAATATTATATAATAATAAAAGTATGAACAGTCTCCTTTAAGCCCATGTTACTTTTAATACAAAGCTAATATAACATTCTACCGATGAGTCCAAAATAGGACGAAACATGCTTCCTGGATTCCACTACTAGCCACTATCTATTTTCGCATATAATGCTTGTGACTTAAAGCAATATTCAGGCAATCTGCACAGGATTCACATATCCCAGTAGGAGACTGATCAATTGCAGTCCTAAACATCAATGAGAAGATTCAAACAAACAATACAAAATGAAATATATAATATAACTTCCTTATTATCCGGTTTATACTAAACATGTTAAACAATTGATCACATGCATGTCACGTCCGCAAATCATACTATATACAACAAGCAGCCTATGATTGATTGATTCTATTCTGACCCGTATTATAATGTATATAATATTTTTAAATTCCTTTATGAAACATATCATTAGTCTAATGCTTTATAAATTCCAGATTTCATTTAACTTACATTTTGTTGTCATGTTAATATGTGACGCCAAACTAAGTCACATTTATCATTCACCATATAATCTTAATCTGTCTTTCTTTTATTTTCATAGACTTTATTTTTATTATACTATGTCCAAATTAACTTTTATCCTTATTTTTTATGATCACTTCTCTATCGATTAGAAATAGTCTTATTCATTTGAAAATATATGTAAAACTTAATAATGTACAAAAAAGAATATTCTGTTTTATTCACTAATCTTTAAGGGTAGAAATTATTTAGGAATGTCAATAAAGAGTTTTAATGTAAAATTTTTATACTTGCTTAATATTTGAAGTTGAAGAGAGCGAGAAAATAAAGTTTGCTTCAGTTATTCTGATTTTTCCCAAATATAAATAGTAGTTTGTTTCCAAGAATTTTAAAATACTAAAGAAAAAGAAAAGGATACTTTTAATTTCATGACACATACAAAATTAGGGAGGCTGTAGTAGAATATCTTCGAGATAATTCCTATACTTCGTACAACACTCGTTCTGATAACCTTTATCAGATAACTCACAACAGTATTTAAATTTCAGAAGACAATACCAGGAGTTGTCAATAGTTTATTATTGTAAAGCTCAAACCAAAAAGCCATAAGCGCACAAAGTGAATACGAACGAAAATATGAATCAGTATAGGGTTGTGGAGATTATTAAGCTTTTGATTGAGATCATAAACCGATTGATGTTAGACCACTATTGAAAACCTGGAAGCACTGGAGGGCCGTTTTGTCCTATTATGCTTCCAGGTTTTCAATGGTGTTCTAACATCAGTCGATTCATGATCTCAAGAAAAAATATGAATGCAAATGAATACGAACTAATAAATTGAACTTAAGAATCCCATATAAACATAGAAATCATTGCAAAGTTTTGACTTGACATTTTGAAGTAAACTGAGCATTGGATAGATTGTTACTAATAAAAATAATATATTTGTAATATCCCAATGAGTAGAAAAATTAAATTTTCTGACGTTTCGTGATTCAGTGTAAGCCACTTTTTAGAGTAAATAAGCATATTAAATAACCTAAATTTAAATAGTACAACGGAACAAACCAAGAATATTTGGTGCTATCAATCAGAAAACAGGTCCGACCAAGTCAATATCATATCATTCCGCTCAAGAGATTTATTAGAGACATGATTGTGAATTTATATGTTAGTGGGTGTGAAATATACGGAAAGCTTCAGCTACTCGCCTATCATTTTGCATTATTTTGATATTTTTAATATCGAATTAATGGTTGTTAAAGATAGAATGCACTACTACAATTGATTTAATTTGGATTCTTTCAAGTTCTAAAAGATTATTAGGTAGATGGCATTACAGCAGGGTATTATTAAACAGAATGAAGGACTCCATAGACGCTCAACTTCGAGACCAACAGGCTGAATTCCGTAAGGATACATCGTGTACAAACCAAATCGCAACACTACGGATAATTGTGGAAAAATCAATTGAATGGAATTCGTCACTCAACATCAACTTCATTGACTACGAAAAAGCACTTGATAGCGTAGACAGCACAACACTATGGAAGCTCCTTCAGCACTACAGCGTACCTGAGAAGATAGTCAAAATCATACGGAATTCCTATGACCGACTAAACTGCAAAATCGTGTATGGAGGACAGACTCGTTCGAGGTCAAGACCGGTTGCTCACTCTCACTCTTTCTCTTTCTCTTTCACCTGGTGATCGACTGGATCATGAAGACGTCATTATCTGAGGGGAAGCATGGGATACAGTGGACAGTCAGGATGTAGCTGGATGACCTAGGCTTGGTAGATGATCTGACTCTTCTACCGCACACGCAACAACAAATGCAGGAAAAGACGACCAGTGTAGCAGCAGCCTTAGCATCAATAGGTCTCAATATACAAAAATGGAAAAGCAAGATTCTCCGGTACAACACAGCATGCAACAAACGAATCACACTTGATGGAGAAGATTTGGAAGATGTGAAAATCTTTACATATTTGGGCAGCTTCATTGATTAACATAGTGGATCTGATGCAGATGTGAAGGCACGGATCGGCAAAGCAAGAGCAGCATATTTACAATTGAAGACTATCTGCAACTCAAAACAACTCTCTGTCAACCAACACCAAGATAAGAATTTTCAATACAAATGCCAAGACAGTTCTACTGTATGGGACAGAAACTTGGAGAACTGCGGAAGCCATCATCCAGAAGATACAAGTGTTTATCAACAGCTGTCTACGAAAAAGATATTGGATCCGCTGGTCAGATTCTATCAGCAACAACGTATTGTGGAAGAGAGTAAACCAGATCCCAACGTAGGAAGAAATTAGGAAGAAGTGCTGGAAAGCACCTAACTGCGTCACAATACAAGCCCTCAAATAGAATCCTCAAGGCAGTTTTACTAGGTTTGAATGTATTCTTCCTCCTAGTTTGTTAACACCTTCAAATTCGACACCGGGCATAATTTTACTTTTGTAGTGTCGGTTGCTATGTTAGGCCCACATAGGTTAGTCTAGCTTTCAGACAGACCAATTTATTCATTCTTGAGTCGCATTTTGACCTCGTTAGTCATTCGCTTATTAACCTTGACTATTTTTACGTAAGCGTGTGTGTGTATTTCTTGCCTTACTCGTCACATGTCTGTAACTTATCAACGCTTGGCTAAATGGAATCGGTTCACACGCCTTCTCCACCGCGTATCATTTTGATTCGCTCTCTTCTCTTCACTTCATTCGTTTCGTTCCTCTGACTGTTTGTCCAGACCACTGAGTGTACATACCATACATATTAGAAACTTCATTCTAGTATTTAACTTATTTAACACCGTTATTCACTAACGCGAGTTAAGTCGATGATAATATACGAGGATAGACGATACGTGCATTTCGATAACAACCTATCATACTATTCAAATGTAGTCAGATTTCCGGCCATTAAACTTTCATCACTGAGGATGGATAACATCTTACTGTTTTATTCCCATTTTTTCATGATAACCACACCTGATACTTCATCAAGCTTCAATAAGATAATATCAGGGTTTGTTCGTAATTCTTTTAGTGATTTAAAATGCTGAGAAGTTAATATGCTTCTCAGCTTTCATCTGCGACTATGAAATTGGTGCAATATATCCAACAGTTTAGCTGTACACCAACTGAGTATTTAAAGACATAGGGGCTAGCTTACGTAGTTGGTCAGAGAGATTTTCAAATCTGGCGTTTATCACTATTTGCGTTTAGGGACAGGAAAATTAAAACTGAAAGTGTATCCTCTTCATTAGCCGACAAAACAACGGGCGATAAATTAGTGACGTAATTATCAGGATTAACTGGAATCAGACTAACACGATTAATATTACTGCAAAATTTTTCAAGCTTTCTTCTCATCCTTTCCTTTGTTTTCAAAATAATACTGCAAAAATTGATTAATGTAATTAGGCAGACCATAGATATTTCTGTTAATACAGGCAATGCTTGAGTGTGCAATTAAATTAAATTGATCAGTTTATTTTGACAATTATCTATATATGATTTCTACAGTTGAATAAGATGTGAAATATTCTGTTGTGATTTACTTGAACGTAAATTCCTATACAATTTTGCACATAAGGTTAACAATTCAACATAACTCTTATGATCTTCGTCAACATTGTTGTACCGCGTTCTGATATACATATTTAAATGCCGATAAAACTAAATGTTCAGAATCGGTGATGATAATTGATTTCAAGTCAGGCTAAGTCTGTTTATTTCGTTGAATGCGCGCATGCGAATTCACACTTTCCTCGTTAATTAAATTTTAAATCAAGGAAATAATCACATTGAGTTTTATGATAACATGATTTGTGACGAGGTCCAAGATTTTTAGTCGACATAGAAATGAGAACACTTCACCAACAATTACAGATTCTTTACAGTTGTAACAAAAGGGAGTCTTCTTTTCAAACCAAAGTAACGGAAATGATCATCAGGTAACAAAGCCGGTTTCATAGTTTCTTACAGGCGAATTTCATCCTGACCTTGATCCAAATATTATACGAACTATTCATTACATAGGAGGTAAGGAGTGAAGAATAGAGATATGTAAATTATTGATTGTACTAAAAACAAATACTTTACTACCACTGTACACCATGGCTTTCAACGGTACTCTAACAGAAATCAATCAGTTGCAAACGTCGACTACTTTTGATTCTTCTATATCAATTTTCTTACAACAAATAATAATTTATGTTGTAGTGATATTCCATGTACCACATTATGAAATAATGAAAAGAAGAATGATTCGTTAACCACAAATCAATCGATGTATAAATGTTCTCTTTTCCATGAATGGTCAGTGGAGTGTAGGTAATTGGATGTACGCAAATTTAAACACAAAGCACTAACATATGTGCTGTGTACTGAATGCATAAATGATAAATAACAAAAACAAAAGACAGAAGTCAAAAACTTTGAGCTATGATATCTTATCAATATTTGATTACCTAGTTTGTTTGTTTTTTCATAACACAGAATGGATGAAAAACAACAGGGCAAAGAGAAACAAAAGTTCAATGCAGTTAGCTTATTCACTTGGAAGTTGTGAACTAAATTAAAGATAGTAACGTAAAAATCAATTTTGAGATTAGTAAAGCAGAAGATAATCACAACAAGAATCATGCTTTAGGTGCCAATAACAAGAATTTGAACAACAACATAGCAAAGGACTTACTATATTCGGTACAAATGTTAGCAGCATAAATTATTATATTTATAAGTAAGTTATACTTTTGGTGTGTTTGTTTATAGGTTTATTTCAAGTTTTGTAACTATATGACTAACTGTAACCTTAATTTACCTAAATAACACATACACACGCACTAATTATAAAGTTTCCATAGTTGATTGATATTCATAGTCTAATCGTTTAATGACTTAGTCTAATAAACCTCAAGGCATTCTTTGTAACCTATTCACTTATATTAATCAATATTTCAATAAGTTTCAAGAACAAACTAGCTCTATTTGTCCCCAATACATTTAGATATATAGTGACATGAAGTAGGTTAATACTTTATCTTTTGTTTTGCTATTTACCACTTGCATGAAAATGTGTACAATATTACTTTTTTTAAAAAAAAACGTTGAATACGCTTGAAAAGAGCAACGATGACTAGAATAAGAACAGCAAAATACAACAGAAACATTAACAACAACAGAAAGAACAAACGTTCGATAGAACGCATATATCTCGCTTAACAGTTTTTCTCTTTTTTTGTCGTCTTCTTTTCTGAACACTGTACAAGCGTATGTTTGTGTGTACGTATTGGTGGAAGCTAAGTGTAACCAACACAAAAAAGTATGTGATGACAATTTCTTTTAACAAGATGTAGAAAACAAAAATCAATATGCAAACATGGCAAAAGAAATTTGAAAGAGAATTAGATACAAATGAATGAACCATAATAGTAATAATATTAGGCCAAATCAAAAATTGAAACAAGAAAAAGAATTAATAAAGAAGAACTACTAATTTATTCACTCGGTCAACTAATATGGTGATCAATAGTCTACAAAAAAAAATTACACAATTATAAATTTACCACATGATTTAAAAGAATTTTTATAAGTATGATGATTTATGAAGGAAGGAAGGAAGGAATTGGCGATAATGTCAAACAATACGTTTATGTTTTACATGAAAATCAATGAAATTTATGTGAATTAAGAAAACGACTCCAATAAAAACAATTTTAATAAATATTACGATGATGAATAGAAAATGGGAAATTTATTGAAATATTATTTTGTTCTCAAAACAAAATTTAATGATGGTTATTATGTAAGCGGAGAGGATAGCTGAAATGAGCATTATAAATGACAATGATATAACGTTTAATTTATACTAATTCCATAAAATAGAAAATGACAAAATAGTACTATCAGAATTACACTCATCCACATAGACCAGAAAGAAGTTCGATGTTTCTTTGTGGTTTTCTAGATAGATTAACACAAAGTATTACCAGGATAATGGATCGCATAAATACGAATTTGAATTTTCCACGATTGAAATATAGGAATAAAGAAAAATGAAAGGTTGGTATTGAATCACCAAAGAAACAATTTTTTTAAAAATGACAGTAAGAATAACAAGCAACGAAAGCAAAAAGGTTGGATTGGAAAACAACAAAACATGAAAATAATCGAAAAGTACCTGGTGTTATATTAGATAAAAAATAACACTAATTAGAAGAAAAAAACTACTCCGTTGATCAAGTAGCAATTGAATAATTGACTCCATAATAATCTGAATGATATTGTCGAATTGTGCAACACATAACCATTGAAAAGAGAAGACAAAATATCTATGAAAAAAAAAGAAAATTAAAATCAAGTCATTATACATACTATCTATTATAAAGATAAGATTTCAAAAGAGAAATATTTAAGATAGAAAGGAGTTACCTTTTGATTTAGTTTTTTTTATAACTAAAAATGACCTATGGTACAAGTGAGTCGTAAATTAAATGAAAGTAAAAAAATCAGTGATGAATAGTTTTACCAACTCTATATGCTTGGAGTATAACAAACACTTACTCAAATTGGTATTCATATAATAAATTGACATGAAAGAGTGATGCAAGCTCTTGGGTGAAATGATACAAAATGTGACTGTTGCATACATCATTGTCCTCATCATGTATATATATATATATATATTGTATGTGTTCAGATGTCACGAATAGTCATATTTTATTAAGTGCATTTTCAGTATATGCGTGCACATAAATCCCCTTTGTTTATTTGATATATCAATAAACCGAGTGAACACTTAAAACATAATTCACTGGGAGCTTGTATTGTACACTTTTGATCATTGAGCTGTTTAATCTTAAATCTCTTCATAATATTTTTTATTGCTTTTTTATGTCACGTTATAAAGGTAATCTGATAAAAACAGATGATATGAAAGAAGAATATTCTTTTCAATAAATTCTCTTCAGGTTCTACAATTATATATCCAAAATAATAATCCGAAGAGTGACCCTGTTTCATTTAATAATACAACACGATTAAGTCTAATAAATATACGAAATTAAACGGGCTCAATTTAAACTGAAATCATAATAGATTCCTAACGACTAAAAGAGAAAGTTTTGGATACTTCCCTCAATGTTAAATGACTATATCTTTCCATATGGAAATTCTATAGTGAGCAAGAAGGCAAGAGAGAATAGAACAAGGAAGCTATAAATAATAGATAAGAATTGAGCACTTATTATAATCGAGTTTAAACGTCAACACAAATTAAAAGAATAATGTAACGACGATGCTATTAAAATTTGTAAAATATACAAAATCCGGATAACAGACGAAACGTGAATCGCTTTACTGATAAATATTCTTGATATAAATGAAAACGCCAATTCTTCTAGTTTGATTTACTTGATTGGTTTTCTTAAGTTTGCACGATGTATACAGCAAAATATTAGGTAGTGAATAACTAAATCTACTGCTACATATCACTACCGACTGAGAAAAATCTGTCCTTTATACTTCTGGTTGTGCAGAATGTTTTTCTTTGAACAAGCCTAAATTCATTTTCCGAAAAGTTTTTAGAATAAATAAAAACTTCCTTAGAAAATACATTTTTTGGTGAAATTTAGAAATTCCCTGTTGCTCATTCTTTGTCTATCTGATCATTTTAAGTAGCTAAGATCCACAGGTGTTTATCAATCTAAACTGAACAGAAAGCAAATAGAAGCTTATCAAAAATAGTAATGAAAGAATAATTTCGAAAGCAAAAAGTGGTTTAATTTATACATATTCATTTTCAACACAGTAAACGACTTCAAACCATACACTCTACGCTTTCAAGAAATTCATTCTTAAAAATTGACTGATTAATGTTGAAGGAAATACTTACGATAGAACTAAGATAAATAGTGTTTCATCGTTCGTTTACTTTTTATTACAACTTAACATGGGCCGAACCTCATAGTTTATTGGATTAAAAACAAACAAATTATCGATATTTGTAATTTTATGTTTTTTAAACTTGGAGATAGTTGCCAGTGTATACTGGAAAATCGTTATAAAACTTAGAGATATGATAAGCGTGAAAAATAAAGTTTCAAGTTATTTTTTTTAAATCATCAGAATTTATTTGACTTGTAAAAGGATATATGTGTGAATGCATCCTATTTTTAATATGTGTATTTACACCTTAGACTAAACAATTTCATCTATGCACATACATAGACATATATATGAAGCATTTGAACAAAAGTCATATAAATCACTAACCTATATTGATACATAGTATATCGTTTGCAGATTTACATAACAAACATTTAAATAAGTTAGTATATTCACTACATTTCACTAATATATAGTCGGATATGTCTCTAAGTACCGAACATTCAATTCTGATTAGTAGTAATATCAATGCTAATTTTGTAATATATGCGCATAAACGTAAACATTTGCTAATGTAAACAATAACTAAGATTAGATTAGTTTGTTAGGCAAAAAATATATACACTGCACTTTATATATATATATATATATATATATATATATATATATATATATATATATATATATATATATATATATATATATCCGTATAATCACAAAGGCTTATTCATACTATGCACTAAATGTGATGCATACCATTTGTTATTTTTTTCATGACTATCAAAATAATTTTAAATATCACATTGATCTGGATACGAAAGTATATGAAGTTATTAGACTTTCTAATATCAGGGGGATAGGAAAATAATTAAAACAAAAGGATAATTATTGTGTAAAATGTACCAACAAATAAAAAGCCTAGAGTTTACAAACTACAAAATAAATATTTTCTCCAGAAGAATCACTATTTCTGAAACATTACACTGACTATACATTAAAGACTTTCAATTTCCTTGTTAAATAGAAAATTCCAGTCAAGCTAAGTAGACACCAATATATATATATATATATATATATATATATATATATATATGTATATATATATATACAAAGTAAATTGAACTGTAAAACAAATATAACAGATATTAGTTTATCTTACTTCAAAAGCTGCAATAGAAACAGTTGCAAGGAATATAATGACCAATTTATCTTTCAACATTACTTTATATTTATCTTTGCAACCCTGGAAATAAAAACAACAGAAATCTCTGATACTTATAATCAAATAATAAAGTCACAAAGAAAACATCAGAGCATAATGGGTAAACAAACAATTAAAATAACATTAATAACACAATGAAGTTAATTTCACAATCAACTAAGAACAAAAAATTGATAAAAAATAAATGAAAATTAAATGTATAATCTGTTTATATTATTGATAATATGAATATCGGAAATTAATCTTATTTGTTTTAATTGAAATAACACAGAATCCATAAAATCTTTCGAAACTGTTTATATTTTCCAATCGACAAATATAAACATGTATAAATGCTGAAATTTTCTTTTTCTTACTCAATAGTAAACAATAAATAAATCAATAAGCAGTCAAAATGAAAGCTGCAATTGTAAATTAGCCAATAAACATTGAAAGAAGGGGATTTCAACATTTTAAGTAAAAGAAAGGCAGGTATAATATATGAAATACTACTTTTCCAAGAGTAACCCTGTATAAATAACATTATTTATGTTTACGAGTAGTTGTAGACTTTCACATTCTGGCAATAATATGAAGAAAAATGTGATCATTATTGATAGTATGAATGTAATCAATCGATAAATAAAATATTAAGTGATTTCTGGAGTTTGTACTGATTGTAATCATAAACTGATATCAACTGAAAAATAATTAATAGCTAAGATACGTTAAACACGTTTCGTCATAGTTCCGATTCCTTACCAATATGCACCTTTGGATCTTTTGATCCTGCGATAAGCACATTAACTTGAAAGTGAAATTTTAACTACTATCAATCTGCATCAGAGTACGAAAAAATGTATGTCAAAATACTTTTCAAGTTAATGATTGACTTTATAATCTGTCATATAACAAGTGTTACACTGACAAAATGAGGTGCAAAAAATGCAAACAAAGCAACTCCTACTTCCTAACAATTTTTCATAGAAAATGCTTATTATTTTTAAAGCAAAAAAAAAGCTGAGTTCTTTACTAAATAAATAATTAGTAGTAATCATGGACTTCGGACGAACACACAAACATCCTACATCATTTAGATTTGATAAACTGAAAAATAGTATAGCTAATAGTTATGGGCATAACAATTTGATTATATTTTTTGTTGCTGTTTTGGTATGGATGATCATTAGAATAAGATTTGTTTTCTTACAACTTTATTGATTGACCTAATAAAACATTTTGGTAAATTTAGGGCATTTCAATCACGACTTAGCGATTCATAATCAATGAATATTTTAAACAAATTCATTTTTCCGAGAAATCACTTTATCAGTTTTTCTAAACAAATGAAATCATTAACGAAAATGTAATAACTTGTCTAATCGACTCAGTCAAGTGTGCACTGTGATCTGATGTTGAACAGCTGAAGGAAAGTAGGTTTCATAGTAGTTGTCACAATTTACCAAGGTCTTTGCAACCTTTCCATAGAATTCAAACATACATTACTCAACATCATGATCATAGGAACTAGCATACGGTTGATTGCATACCACGTTTATCTCAGAAAAATAAAGATATATAGTCGTATATTAATACAGATGTTATTTTGTAGGAGGCAAGAGTATTATCTTTATCAGATATATCGTTCACAACAAGAATATAATTATAACTGAACTTTCCTAAAATTCCTCACCGTCAGTTCTAAATGCAATATTAACTCGTAACATAAACATTTCGAATAAGAAAACGTTAAACAAATGGTTATTGTCCAATAGCAAGATTTCAAGTATGGGGTCGTGAAGATTATCGAATTTCATTGAAACCACGAATCAATCAATGTTAGACCACCATTGAAAACCTGAAAGCGCTGGATGGTCGTTTCGTTCTAGTATGGGACTACTCAGAAGTGCGCGCCCATAATCCCGTACGCAGGACTCAAACACAAGACCTTCGGTCTCGCACGCAAACAGACGTCCAAGGCCTCCAGATTTTCAACAGTGGTCTAGCTTATATCAGTTCATGATTTCAATGAAAACATGCATATTAATTCAGATTACATTTAATGTCTAATATGTTATCTAGTGGTGTCAATCTAATTAGTTCTTATCTGGGAATTATATATGACTATTTTACTATGTATTATTTCAACTTCATACTGTTATTATCATTTTGACATGGTTGTTTTAACCAATTAAACAATGCTTCTGATCTTATGTCGAGCTAAATATTTGAAAAAAACATCAGAAAGTAGAAAATGAGAACTCGGTGGTACGTCGGTCACTTAGTCCGAACGTAGAATATGTTGACCTTTAACCGCAAAATGGTAAACATTCATAACTTCTCGAATCTGAGCATTATTTGAAGTGGTTCCACCTATAGTCGAGACCAATTACTCCCGGTACATTACTAAACAGGAATTATACAGAAGATTAGCAGTCTGACGCTTCAAAATCTTAATTCGAAAAAAATAAATACTGTGTCTTTTTAAATTAACATTTTTCAGACTAATGACGATTTTACCAAAAATAATCTAAAATTCGCATAAACAGGAAAACCAAAGTTTATGTACAATGAGTATATAAATGATCAGACACTCGTAAGCTACTAGTATTTGACCACAGATTTCTTAGAAATATTGCTCGCATCTGCTGGGATCACCGGGTAAGTTAGACGCAGGGTATTAGGGAATGACGGTAAATTAATCGATGAGGTTGTGAATCTTCATCGACTGAGATGGTTGGGCCACGTGTTACGTATGTCTGAACACCGATTACCACAACATGCAGTGCTAACCGGTGTTGGGGATGGTTGGAAGAAAGTTATGAGCGACCAAACCAAAACGTGGCATCAGTGCTCGAAGTCACAAACTTGTAGTCTGAGCCATGTTGGGAGATGCAGACTACTTGGTTGGGGTCTGCGTGACTATCGTAACCAATGGTTGGAGACTATGTGTGACATGGCTCAGAATCGATCACAATGGCGTAGGTGTATACACTCTCTGTCTTCCCTTAAACTAGGAGATTAAAATCGCTTCATATCTTTCTTTCTACGAACTAATTCTTTCTTCCTGTACTATATCCTTATATGCAATCTTTCTTTTATATATTACCACCTCTGAATTAACAAATTTTATGAATCCGGTGTCCATCTTGTTGTGTTAATGAGGTATGGCAACTTGGACCGATGCATATATGTGCCTCGTCCTACGTTGTAGCTGACTGACTGACTGAGATAAGGAAGAAGTAAACAGAAATACTGTTGTCAAGACTTTAGGTTTTATCTAGCAATAAAGTAACAAATAAAGATATCATGATTCAAACATACAGTACAAGCTTTGATTAAAAATAATTCTGATTTCTTTTAAATTATTATTTGTAGAAGCTTGCTAACGAACTAACTTTCTGAAACCGTAATAATAGAGAATAGGTTGTGGAATGATGAATTCTATAGACAAACTGATAGAGTAGCAGTGCGGTCATCACCCGCCTTACTTCTGGCTGACTGTTTCATTCTAGATCTCGAAAACACTAAAATTATACCAACAATTGATAGCTTCTATCTATATAGGAAATACCGATACTGAATGACAAAGATCTGAAGCCAAAACAACAACGTAAAGGGATGTTCACAGCATCAAATAAAACTCTTTTCATGAACACTGTTTAAAAGATATAGTGCAGCAGAAATGATGAAAAATTAACTTCCGAGGTCTCTTAGAAAAATATTTTATTGGGTGGAACCTCGTATTATATTTTCTAGTCGTCCTATGATTCGTAGTTGTGTGAAAGCTCCCCCTTTGGGTTAGATCGGTGTGTACCTATCAGTTTGCTTCCTTATGTGAAGCAAGTTATATTGGCCGCACAAATTGGGCCCTTTCTGAACAGAATCCAGAACATTACACTGTCTGACCTTCTAAACGATTACAGAAGTCGGCCAAAAGTTTCATCTTGGAGCAACTAGTCAATTCTGGTCACTCCGTTTCACCAGAAGCCTCCTTCAAAATCATACATACAGTCAGAAGAGCCGGCTACCGATGAATACAAATGAAAAACTTATTTATATCAGACGTTATATCTATCGACTTCTTCAAGCCGAACCTTTGCGTACAAGAACATTATATTCAATCCCTCATGCTTACATGATTTTGACCATTCTTTTCTATCTTTCATAATCTACTGTTTTTTTATCATTATTTCTACTCTTTCCCAATGATTTTCATAACTGTTAACTAAACATTATTATAACTTTTAATTATTCTGTTCTTAATAGCTAGCAAGTAGATATTTATCTTCACTTTAGCACTTTTCACTAGCTCATTATTGCATAACCTCATGTCAATATTTGATTTTCATAAGCAATTCAGTACAGGTTAAGTTATATCCAATGACAAGAATTAAACAGTTTGTATTAAAATTCACTAGTAAAATCATTTTTACATTTAGTTTAAAAAGAAACATAAATATTCTTTTTTTAAAGATAACACTAAGAATAATTCAGTTGTGAAACAGTGCATCAAATTACTCGTTAAATAATGTGATGCCAATTCACACGAGTTTTAATAATAGATTCGTTTCAAAGACTAAGAATTGATTACTATCTTTTTTATATATAAAAGCAAGAAATTAGTTTCAGTACAGAAATAAAAGGCGGATTCGAAATTTTTCAATTAATAAACACACTGAACCTTTTGACTGACTGTTTTTTAGCTTATAGTAGTCCCAGGCATGATATAACAATGTACAGTTGAAGCTTCCAATATACATATAAACCAGGATATGAAAATAAAAAACATAGCTTACGATTCAGTTTCCTAAAAAAACTGAAAAATATTTACAACGCATTGCACTCTAGCAATTTTAAAATCAATTATTCATAGATAATAATCTAATGTATATTTGGAACAAATGTTTTCAAAACAACTGTTCATATAACATGTCGATAACTTTCTAATTGTATATTTTCATTGTGTTGCACAATTAGTACATTTGATCTGATAAAAAGATCGATTTCAGACAAAGTGGACAGTATTTTCAGAACATTATATTAATTAGTACTTTTGTGGTTTTACAACACGTTTGGAAATTTATGTATCTAGAAGGTACGGCTATATAATTTTACATTCACAATAAGAGTAATTCAGAAGTATATGAGACACATTTTTCACCCTGACCTTTTATTACCTAAAGTCGATAATGTAAGACAAAAATAAACAGCACCATATTGTGTATACGTAACTGACCGATTCATCTAATTCGAATATAAAATCAAAACTACAATAGTTTCTATGGGGTACACTTTTCATTCCGAAAATTCAACGTCGATATTAAATTAAATTAACAACCGACAGTACATTGTACAGAAGATAGCTGTGAACGCTTTACACAATATTCACAGAAAAAGAAGATAGCTTGAGAAGCTTTAGAAAAACATTTATTCACCAAAATAGAAAGTTTTTCAAGCGCTTAATAAAAATCTTCCTTTACGTTTCTATAATTTAGAAGTGAAGCACCTAACAAAATACTAATTTCTTTTCCTAAATGACGTAATTATTGCAGTGAATAGAAACAGGAAACATTGAAATTCTACAACTCGAAAGCGATGCACTCAGAGGAATACTAAAGCAAATGGTTGTGCAGAACAGTTTAAACAAAATTCAACTGAATAAATTACAAATCATGTTTTACACATGACACCTAGTAGCTCTGAGACTGTGGAATAAGTTACCTAAAATAGTCACCTATTTGCGTACCCCTCAATTCAACTGAGTGAGTCAATCCGAAAGTTGTTTCAAGTATTTACTTTTTCCTTACTCATGAACAGTATTGCTAAGTAAATGCGTAGTTAAGACTGTCAGTACTTCTATTTTATTCCTTCTGTTCTAAGCAAACCATGAAGGCAACAATAACTAGTTACCTTCAACAATTTAATATATCAAGAATAGATTACAAAAAGCAGTGAACTCAAAGTCGTTCAAACAGAAGAAGCGATTGTAATGCAAATGAATAGCCTAAGCTCCGTAAACCCTATTAACCATTTCCATTATAAAATTACTTGATAAGTTTGATGCACTACAAACCCTTTTGTCAAATATCTTAAAAATCTGAATTAATCTAATTTAATTGATTAGTTCGCATACACTTGAGTAATTTCTTTGTCGCTCATTCCACATGTATGACCTCTAACCTAAATCATATAATTCTATGTATAGTACAATCCCTGAATATTCCTTAATCATGTTATTAATTCTTTTGCACCAAGTTACCTGTATTTATTACAATTATTATTCGTACGATTTCATTTGTTTTACAGTGTCATTGCAACATTTACAAGCAATCCTTAAATCCATAAAGTGGATTATTAGAAATTCATGTCGTCAAATTGGCGATACGTTTTAATTAATTATTCGAAATAATAATTGTTGAACATAAAAATTTACTGAAAGGGATACTCTACGTTCATATGTATTTGCTTTAATTATTAGGAATATTAAATTGTTTGTTAACATGAAATCTACCGATAGACTGAAAAAATTAAAATGGATAATGCAATTTATGCTATTCTAATGATGAATAGTAAATGACGAAAGTAATTAAATATTTTAAACGTTTATTGAATACTCCGATGTCATTAAATCAATAGTGTATAAAAAAGATAGGAGCAGTACACTATTGAATAAACTAGTAAGACGATTGAACCGCTGATTAGACGTCAATTTTAAACTTGTGCATAATTGTAAAGATCTTATCTGTATTACAAAAGAAATTGATTTGTTATTTTTGCTGTGATCAACGTGCTTTTAATAATTTTGCAGTTACTTTAGAAAAAAACATTGGATACATGGACATTACTCAGGAAATGGATAGTCCTTAAAATATATTATTTATGTTTACGTATAAAAATTTATTTTGATTGGCAGATGAGAGATGTTGAAGCATTTCTCTGCATAGTTCAACTCCCGTTATGAAATTCACAATTTTTCTGTATATTAAAACCATTTACTTGTTAAGAGAACTAGTTATTTTTAATCATAGAACTCATATCCGTACAATGATTATGATTTTTTTAAATTTCTGATAAACATAGCCACAAAATCTGTAATTCTAACCTAAAGGCAGTATTAAGTATCATCTGTTTTTCTAACCACTCAATGTGTTACTCAAAAAGCTTTCTGGACTTACCTAGCTAGTTCTACTGAATTAACTGTCCCCCTATATATATATATACAGAAGACTGAACAGACTATAAATTGAAAACCTGCTGAATACAACAATCAAATTTACATTACAAAGAGTATATTTGTTATCATTTTTCTTGACAACTTTTAAAAAACATAACACAATTTTGTCGATCTACATTTCACAAAATATCAGTTTGATATAAAACTGGTTAATAATAGTGAAAATGATGATTGAAAAACCCTAGTACGAAGGCAATATCTCTCAAACATGCTTTGTTGAAGTCATTCATTTAGCTACCGAACTCACCTTCAAGTACGTCCAACCTGTAGTTCGTTGAGGCGTAAAGAGAAATATCGCAAAAAAAGGACTTCCCTTGTCAGTTTCTTTCTAATTTGAAAGAGCTGTACACTAAAAACTGTTGCAGGGACCCTGATCGATTAACACAACCTCACCTTCGACATTTAGTGTGAAACTAATATCAGTGTGACTCGACTTCCAAGCTGTGTCCAGAAAAGCCCACATGAATCAAGTTTCTGCTGCAGTATATATCCACACTGAGACTTTGGGAATTCTCAGTTACACCTGTCTCCCATCTCATCTGCATCGGCCAGTAAATGTTGAATACGTAAAGTTCAAACAACACCTACGGTTTAGGAATAGCTGTATTAAATTTCACACTGAGAGACAATTCTTAGAAAGCTACTTCATAGTTTATTGAAATATCAGTAAGTCGAATCCACATCTACACAGCTTTGCATAAAACATACTATCTTAACCGTAATAGTAGATACATACTGTCGTTATATGCTAACAAACATCAATTCGTTCATCAATAATCTTTAGCAAAAACTATAAACTTATATGACACAGTCATTTAAATGAAAAGTTAATATGAATGTTCGAAACGGTGTGAAATGAGAAATTTTACCAGTATTTTAACAAAATTGCTTACTTCTTTATAAACTTCTTCGGGTGACAGTAATGCATTTAGACATGTGCTTACATGATGATCACAACATGCAATGGGTATACTTTCACGGTAATCTTCGTAACCATTGACACCACAACAGCGCAACTACACAAAGATGAAAATTAACAAAGTGAAAGTATTTAGATAGAGAAAATGAAACCCGCCTATCACTTTGTCCAGTTAGAGAACAGACAGTCACAAAGAAATCGTTAAACACACAGGTACTAGGCATTTGACTTTGGACAATTTATTTCTATCACATGATAATGAATATTCATTACAGTCATTTGTATATAAACAAGGAAGTTCACAAGTATCCATCAATATGAGAAATTTAATTTAATTAGTAAAAATATGGGGATTCAATTATTCATTAACTGCTTTGTTGAGACATGTTTTTTAAAAGTTGATATTACACACGCTTCACTTTTACAAGAATGAGAGGTTTAGATCAGTAAGCAGTTCCCATACAGAATGTCCCATTAATAGTGAGTGAACTCTAATTTGACATTTTAAGAAGTAAAGTATCAAAACATATTTACTTTACAATTCTCACTACTCTTAACAATCCCTTAGTTGGTCAGTTTGATGCTCCGTAAATAATGTGATGGCAAACACATAACCATTTGATTAGAAAGCTTTAGCAAGTAAATATGAAAACTGATAATCAACATCAATGCCGTGTATTACAAACTTTGCACTGAATTTTGAATATTGACATCATTTCATATTTACTCAGCTTTATACATTGACGGAATTCTGATTCTTTTCACTGTCAACCTGAAAACAATTGTATAATTTAGTTGAAACATATCCATATACACGGAGATTAGCAAATTCAAGTCAGTAAGTGAATAAGATTTCTAGAAAACATATACATGTTAACTAATAAGAAAAATTTGAACACAAGTTTCTCTAAAATGAAAATTAATGTAAAAAGTTGCGTGACAACAATTTTAGAAACGGGTATATTAATAGGATAAAATGAGTAAAGCCAAGAAAATGACACAAGAATGAAGGAAAGGAATTTATAGATGAGAGCATGAAATAAGGTATGATGTAGTCTGTTGATGGAAGTTGGAGTCATTAGGGTAATGTTAGATATATAAGTATATCTCCTTTTGGATGCCTGGGATTAATTTCACTCTTCTAATAGAGACGACTCCTGAAGAACATTAAAAAAATTCGAAGTTGCTTGAGTATTGATAATTTGGAAAGATTTTGAAAATGATTTATCACTAGAGTACCCTCGTAATCCTTCTATATTTTTTCGCATTTTTACCAGTCTTCATTATTATGATGTAAAGTATTAATACGGGATCTAAATAATTATTACTACTGTATCAACGTTTTAAGCAGCTGAAGAAAACCTACAAGACGAATAAATCTATATTTTGCTACCACATTCTTGGTTGTTATTTTATTCAAATTTCTCAAGGGGAAAACTGTATAATAAAACATTCAGCTATATTGTCTACTGAACAAACAACGCATGTCTTGATGTAGTCGTCTGAGTTATTATTTACAAGGATAAATCGTTATGAAATGACCAATATTATACCCTTTACATACAGTAAATCCCGTCAGACTTTATGATATCACATAAAACTAAACTGAAAGCAAACGTACTCTCATTGTTTTTCTTTTTATTGATAAGATTCTAAAGATTTGACTTTTACATTAAATAGAACTTTTGAATAAAAATAATTCACAGAAGACCACTTACAGTGACTGAACTAAGAAACGATTAACAATGCGGTGTACATTTTAGTTAATTATCAAAATTATGTAGTTCTATGATTACTAACTGAGATGGTGGAGAAGATTCGTAGCTCAGGTGGATGATTTTGATAGAGCTTTGTTCTCTGAGCTGGATGGTTTGGTCGTGGAGCTCTCATCGTTCTTCTGAACGACATCGTCAACCCAAACTTCAGGTAGAAGTGAATCCATAAAAAAAAATTACTAATTGAATTTATTAAGAGCTTAAATAATAAATATCAAACAAATTAGTATTAAGTTTAATTAATACGAAACTCAAAAGCTGAAAATGTCAGCACACTAAGCGAAACCAAACTTTATTTGCTTTTCTTATTCATGTGTCATGTTTCAGACTGGTGAAAATAAATAATAAAATTTATGAATAAATCTCGCATGTGGGAGCGATATAAATAAAAAATACACTATACAATTTGGTTAATTTTAGCGAATATTATTTATTTACAGTCAATGTCTAGAAACAAAAACAACAAATATGAATGAACAAGTTTTAACATGAAATAATATCGATAAAATTTTTCTGAGAAAACAATAACTTACCATACGTTGTATTGAATCCATAAACGGTACGGGATTTTCACGTTGATCACGTAGCATTGAATACTCTTCAATACCTTCTCTCATACGATCATCGACATATTTCATAATCTATATTTAGACAAAAACTAATTATTGTTATAAACGCTTTTTATTTCTATGCGTGAATAAGAATGAAAATGTATATTTACTACAAAAATAACTTTTTTTTACTTTTCATCAAATTAATGTGTATATTTGAAAACCTTGAAAATAAAAAAAGCTCCAACGAATTCTCTACTTCATTATCATTTTCATCAATCAATTCCATGCGTAAGAAACTGTTAGTTAATTTAATCACAACATAATATAAGCTAGAGTACTATAGAAAAGATTAACTATGCTAATAATCTTATAAAGCGGGTGATAATAAATTAGTGTTATCAGATATCTGAGAATACAAATCAATCGTTCCATAACTTTCAATGTCTTTACAAATGATGGCAGTCAGTAACGAAAGTTATTAACGCATTTGTCTCAAAAAGTCATGTTTTAAACAGATACTCTTTAGTTCTGAGCATAGATAATATTAGATGAAAGAATATCAGTGAAATAAATTTATTTGACTTGTATTAAGTGTTGCTTAAAATAGACGATTATCACGATTCTTTGTAAGTTTACCAGACTTTGTTATTAAAACACTGAAAATAATTCACCAAATAAATTTATGTTCTTAAACTAGTCAATCAGTAAAACATGTATTGCAGCAGCTACCCTGACTATAAAAACTATAACAAATGGAAGAGACAGAAACTGGTTATCCATTGGCAAAACTTTGAATGTTTACTTTATTAAATAACATGTAGACAGATAAACTCGGCATAAATGAGAGACTGTCATCAATGATAATGTGATATGTGTTAGGATACGTAAGTATAAGCTGTTCATAGCGCTTCAAATCAATAGAAAATCAAACCAATTACAAACGAACTTCATATTTTAAGTTTACCATTCTTATAATGCGGTATATAAAATGGCGAGTCACGCGAAAAAAATAAACACATTAATTACATTTTCAGCATAGAATCTTAAGAATACAGAAGGAATATTCTCAGTTCAAAATTTAATCACACTACACAACAATTTCAAAAACTACAAAAACATCTTTGTTACCATCATACAGCCAGATGATGCCACTCATTTATTTTATTATTTATTGAAGAAACATTCAGCACAGTGCTTAACGTATTTATGTAGTTTATTCACACTAGACTTTAGTTGAGATACATAAAGTATTGAACAATACACGATACATTGGTTTGTCACAAACTTGTCACCTGTAACGTAACAAGGCAGTAGGCGTAAATCGCTACAGAAAGGTGGCTTAACTGATATTTAAATATAGGTCAGGTCAAAAAGAGATCATGTTCGACGTTCTTATTTGTGATAGCTTATTGTGCAAGTTACCTATACATTATAGTAGTAGTAATAGTACAGATGGAAAATCATTAAACACCGAAAATTAATACATTCAGATAAACGATTAATCTAAATGTTAAATTTTAGAATATAAAATTCTTTCAAGGTGAAGATTTCATTGTACTAAACAAAACTTACCCAATATTTTTTTTATCAAACCATATAAAACTTATAACCTTATTTCTTCATAAAGGCGATGTGATTAGAAATAGCTAATCAAACACCAATTTTTGTAAAGATCTGGTATCTGTTGCTATACTTATTACTTATGTATGCTCTTTAGAGATAAACAACAAAATATGTAAACAATTTATTTGCTATCTTGTCAAATGATTTAATTAACATTTGGACAGAAAATAATTCACTGATTAGAGATGTTCCCTTCCCTAGGCTTATACTAAAAGTAGCATCAAGATTCGATTTATTAATTAATACTTTCAAAAAACGTTTACAGACAAGTGCATCAAAATATATCAACCCATATATGATAAACCTTTTATAATAGGAGACGGGTTATGTAGAAAGTTTTGCAGCATCAATTACAGATAACTAGTTTAGATGTAAACTGATATTATTTGATTTATTACAACTACTCCTTACCAATAGCACTAGCATGAAACAATAAGATATTTGAATCATGCATAATTATATTTTTGTACTCTTTCAGTTTACGGATATCCCGTACATTAAACAGCTTAAAAATGTATACATCTGTGAGGACAGGAGAACTAAGCATATTTATTTATGCACATAATTAATGAATGAATAAAGTTTAACATTATTAAGTGAAGTTCTAGTTTATATATACATAGTATTCTATGAGTTTGTATCTGGAAGTTGTCCAATTATGGGTTTACGTATTGGTAGGATGTTTAGGTACTTATTCGAGTTGCTTTGCATACGCTTATACATGTAATTGTATATTTACCAATTAACAATAGTTCAGATTTACGAAAACTCATACTTTTTAATGTATATGTATGTGTGCTTATGTCAACCAAAACATTCATTTATATATCCAATAAGAATCTTTTCTTTTAACTTTATAATCTAACACTGAAGTAATGAATAATTATGATAACTAATAGGTGAAATTTCTTTCTGGTTACCTGAAGTCTGTTCACTGAAGTAAATTATTTTTTTATTTTTAGGATTCATATGTGAACAAATAACACCTACAGCATCTTCTGATATATTATTTAATGAAATTGAGTAACCTGAGAGTAGAACAGCAGTACCGTGAAGTAGCATGTTTGTACGTTAGTTTGTCGACCTTATATGAAATATAACAGAACAGTGAAATTTAACATGTAACTATTCAGATAGATTTAGCACTCATTCCAAAAATATAGTGGATTCTGATAGTAGTGAAATAGAATTAGAATGATTCTTTCGGTACCAGTTAAGAATACTTCGTTTTGTTTGAAACCTTATGTAGTACATAGTGCCTTTTCATTGGACATAATCAAACATACTAATCAGGATAACTAGTAGGGTGATTTAACAAGTAAATGTTGTGGGCTCATTGCTCGACGGTTTGTGGTGTTCATGCATATTTTATCCATTGCAATTTACTCATCAACGTTGCGGATTTGATGAGTGTAGTTATATATTACATAAATGATGCAACTGTCAAAGTAATGAGAAAACAAATAATTAATGAGCTGTTTTATTCATCTATTTATTTTCACTTCTTACTATAGAATTTCTAAGGACTCGACAATTAAAAATAATCTTGTAACTAAAGTAAACCCTTATTGAAATCATGAGTCGATTGAAGCTAGACCACCATGGAAAACCTGGAAGCACTGGACGGCCGTTTCGTCCTAGTACGGGACTCCTCAGCGGTGCGCATCCACGATCCCGCACCACGCGGGGTTCGAACACAGGACCTACTGGTTTAGCGCGCGAGCACTTAACCACTAAACCACCGAGCCGGCATCCAACGGTGTTAATGTCTAACTTGATTTCAACTCATGATTTCAACCTATGAAATTTCTAAAAAAACTCTCCACAAAACCCATTCTGATAATAATCAATTGCTCACTAGTGACTGACTTCAAGAAAAACTCCTGGAGTTCTAGTGAGAAGCCGTCACCAGTGGAGTTCAACCAGGTCTGTTGTGAGATAACAACTCACTGAAGACAATGGTGTACGGTGGCGCAACTTCGTGAATTGGTTGAAGTTAGACATTAACACCGTTGGATGCCGGCTCACTGGTTTAGTGGTTAAGTGCTCGCGCGCGAAGCCAGTAGGTCCTGGGTTAGAATCTCGCGTGAAGAGAGATCGTCGATGCGCACTTCTGAGGAGTTCCATACTAGGACGAAACGGCCGTCCAGTGCTTCCAGGTTTTCCATGGTGGTCTAGCTTCAATCGACTCATGATTTCAACCTATGAAATTTCTAAAAAAACTCCACAAAACCCATTCCGATAAGCCCTTATTACTGATTACGATTTCCTATTGTGTTTTCTTCAAAATTGGTTTGGCCAGTTGCATAAAATAAAATTGAAAAATGGAAGACAAGAGGTAGTTGTTGCAACACAGTCACATGAGGGACAACTATGGTATCAATAGCAATGTATGAAATTTCCAGATTTTAGTAGACAAAACACCGACATTCAATTATACTCAGAAATAAAACCTACTTTTTAAATTCTAATACTATATATTACTAAATATGAAGACCACTAGTGTGATATACATATATGAAATTTCTTTTGGAAGTTTAAGATACAAAAATGAAATGGTATTGCTATGCTTGTTTGTTACCCAAATTTCTGCAAAATAGGACGTCAAAAGCTAACACTACCTAGAAATAACGATCATGTCTTTTTCTGGTTCTCTTCAACCAGACCATCTTAAAAAATCTAAAACCGATTCCTTACATGAACCCATATTGTTTAATACTGAGGGTTAAATATTCAGATCAATCTATTCATGTTACTACATTAGGGTTATTACTCCGAATTTCAGAATAAACTGATCGTTATCCGTCAGTCAAACCGAAGTGCTTACTTCTTACACTTCTGATATAACAATTATTAGCATCTACGAATGCTTGTATTTTATAATGCTATTAGTCCTAGCAGCATCAAAAGTTTACGAATGCCACACCAAAATAAGTTGATAGATAAATCTTCGTCGATATGTTCTGCCAAGAAATGTAAGATACAGACTTCCAATCAACTACCTAATGGTATGAAGAATAGCTGAGCAAAGTGGAAGAAATATGGTACACCTAATGATAACTGGTGCATACTACAGGATCCACAAATACTAAGTCGTCATGAATGACCCAAAGAGGATGCTAGAGAGGATACTCACATTAGAACATTTAGCAACCTTGACAACAGCCATCGAGATATCATGCAGACAACACAGAGAACAAAGAAAAACATTCTCAAGAAAAAAACTAACCAGGAATTCAAAAACACCCGTTGAAGAAAACACAAACAACTGAGTGATCAACCTGTCGAAGTAACCGCTGACAAACATAGAAGAACACAAGCTCCGAAAACGATTAAACAACAATACAAGAAAAACGCCAAAACTAGGATTTATTGCCACACTAGAGTCATCACTAAAAACTGCCAGAACAAGTGAAGAAACCTAACAAGAAATAAGACAAACCATAGTACCGCTAGCTCGACGAAAGAAAGACAACAGCCAACCAACTTCACAAGAACAAAAAGCCTTTAAGAAATCCAGAACTATGAAAGACATTATCATACTTTCAGCAGACAAAGGATGCACCACAGTGATTGTGGACAAGCATGAACATAACAGGAACCACTTGATGATGAAATCGTCTACAAACCAATGGACGCAAACCCAATCAAAAGATTAGATAACCAAATCTCAAAGACTTCAAATAAGCTTGTCAAAACAGAACAAATATCAAAGCAAGATCAATGAAAAATGAAATCCAATGGACTAGTACTCCCCTACATCCTATAGCCGGCCAAAAATACACAAACCAAACATCCCACTATGTTCAATTTTAGCCCTCCCCGGAACATCAACGTACAACCTGTCAAGAGGAATTTCACGAATATTGAAACATTCAGTGCATTCATCCAAACATTCTATCAGATCTCCCATACAATTCCTGGACAACATTAAGGAGATTCAAGCCAACAACGACGAACTGGTATCCTTCGACGTGACAGCCTTATTCACCTCAACTAAATGAAGCTTAGCAAAGGGAATTCTATTCCTGCTTCTCACCAACGACACAAATCTCCCTAAGTACACGGAGCTTCGAAGTTAAAGTTTACTAGAACTAACCAATTTATGTTTAACAACATATTTTTAATAAAACAACAAAACCTAGGAACAAGTGAAAGGAAAACCGATGGGATCACTAATATCAGGACGTATTGCAGGAGCAGTGATGCAGAGACTGAAAGTCTCGATCTTATCAGTGATCAAGCTAAAACGTTGGATTAGTTATGTGGACGAAACTTTCGTCATCATCAAAAAGGATGGGCTGGAAAACACTCAAAATCTGATCAATAACGCTTTTGGTGACAAAACGTTCACAATGGAACAGGAGTCAAACAACAAACTACCATCCCTGGATGCATTCATCACCAGAACTAAAACAGGAATACGAGAGGCTCAAGTATTTTGGAAGCCGACCTATACATATCAAATTCTCAATTACATTAGCAAAAACCCAAGAACTCACAGCGCAGAAAACAACTATGTTAATGTATTTTCAACCCATACACAACTAGTTGTCAATAAACGCAAAAATATTCTAAAACATTTGCTTTTTGACGAAACAAAAAAAACAGGACAATGAATAACTGCACAGTGGCAAAAAAGTCACAATTATAAATTTCGCTTTATGGTAGTTATTGATAAAATAACACTTAAATGAAAGATTATCAATAAACAGAATATATTCTGGATAAAAGTAACCCTCACCTCCTCTCTGTATAAATAACCCAATGTGGCTCCTGTTACTTGAGTTGCAAAGATCACTATAAGGATAGTGAAATATGTTCCCAAAAGACACTGCGATTCATGGTAAGCACCACAACAGCCAAACAGCGCTATTACTAAAGTAATTCCACCGATACCCATAAGAGCATATAACATGATTTGTACCGCATGTTGCTGTCCCGACGCAAGTATGATGTCCTGCGCCTCTGGTTCCAGGTAGATGTAAACAGAAAAGCCCAAAACGGCCAACCCAATAAGCTGAATGAATGAAAAAAATTTATTGTTTTAGCACAACAAAAACATTAATTACAGTTAAACAAGAAATAATCCGTTATTATATTATGTAGATTTAAGGAGAACTATGCTGGGATGAAGTGTTTGACTGATTGCCGAGTGTTAGAAAAATCTATCTAGACTCGAAAGGAATACCCATCTACTTAACTTCTTAAATAATCGGGCGTTTACGGTTAGTCTTTTTTTCAATATTATCTCAGTAGCTTCAGAAGTAACTACGTCATATAGTATGACTGAACACATCGTATAACAAAAATGTATGCTCTCTTATGTTATTCATACTGCTAAACCGTAACAAAGCTACAATACTGCCATTCTTGCACATGTATTTTAAGACACTTCCACATACAACGGCCATTTACACTGGTAAAATAAGATGTACGTAATGATAGTCTGTATTCAAATATTACACTAAAGTTGACGATGAACAAATGCTTGTTGAAATTTAAACCTAAGGAGTCAAAACAGGAAATCACCTAGTTTCTGATACATGTGAGGTTTAGAAAGGTCAACAGAAATCACAAGTGAGATATGATAAGTGAATAAACATTTTGCATCAGTTTTAAATGTAAGACAAAGGCCTAATACGAATCAAGACAAAATAATTAGAACAGAAGATAAAGCTATTAATTTTTTCCAGAATTAATAAAAAACGTTGTCACATTAAAGAAATAAGAAATATAACGCTCAAATTATAATCACAGTTCCCTACAGTTGTTTCTGATTGACAACATCTAGTAAAATAAAATGCAGGAATTTTTGAGTTTTTCTCTGACCAACTAAAGTTATCTTGGACAAATTACTTTTGTTTCCTTGTTTATCAACTAAATTATTCGAACAGATATTACGTTATTGTTGTTTTATGTCTAAGACCCAAGTTTTATATGTCCCAAAAAAAGCTATCATCTCCGAACTGAGACAACGCCTAAAACCACGTTATATACCTAAGTCGCATAGATTTACGGTAATTCAAATGCTTTATTGTATCGCTTTGTGGAGGAACTGACAACTGTAACGTATATTTAGCTATCTAGTTCACTGAATACTTCTTCAGGCCAAAATAAACTTGATTTTCGATTTAGAGACCACAATGGTAGAATCTTATTTTGTATGCACAACAAACTTTTTTGAGCAGTTCATGAGGCAGTCATCCAACTTGTGAGGTCATATCATTATATACATATATGGAAACAGCTAGGAAATTATTGTACTCAACAAAAGTGATACACTTGAAATATATCAAAATATTTCGTGTAACATATACGGTATCAAAAACGGCCGCAGAAACTTTCCTTGCAACATCGATGACACTTGGGTACCAAATAACTCGAAAGGTTACCAATAGTTGGTTTATGATAGACAACTCACTAAACCACCTTCAGCTAAATATATATATATATATATATCACCATTTTAAAAAATATGGGAGATATTCTGTCGTCAGATCGCTTATTTAGTCTGAATAACTGATCTAACATGAAATCAGTTAGATCAGTCTACGGTAGACGGGTTTTATTCAACAGATAACAAATGTGAAACACACCACAGGAGTTTGTACTAGACACCGTCCACACATTCCCATTGCTATAGAGTGATTCAGTATTATTTTACTATGCGAGTTATAACAACTTTATACAAACCGAAAACTAATACTCAAGACGGTTCAGGTGTTATTATTGATCCAATCTTTTAGAGAAATATTGGTCAAATTAACACAGGATTATATTACAATATTTACCAGGTAATAAACCAAATTAAAGTGATTGCGTTAATTTATTGATAAGGATTGCTAACTTAATAACTTAATTAGCTTAAAATTTTCGGAAGACTTAGTAACTAACAGTTATCTTTATAGGGACATTTTGTCGAGTATTATTCAATTCACAATCTTGTCGAAAAAAATCCATATTTAAAAATATTCTAGTGATATTATATGACGCTTACCACAACCAGGAAGTTGAAAACTACTAGTATGACTCTTAAACACTGTATACAGCCCTTCATAATGAAAACACCGTCAGTAGTTTGAAAAACCGCAGATATATGACGGTACAACAATTATACTTTAAAAAAGTAAAAATATGTATTGAAAAACCGAAGTTCGTCATATAGTATAAATAGTTTATTATTGCATTGAAAATGATAATGATATTTTTATGAAGTCACTTGTGTTCACATATGTACTTACAGTACAGAATATATGGGACACATTTCTAGTGTGTTTTCATGTGGTTGGTATCCAGCTACATGAATCCATCGAAGGTGATGCAAATATTCTTATTGTTGGTCCAATTTCGTTTGAATACCCTTCCTTTTTAAAATCTTTAACATCCAATCGAATGCCAGTGAGCCGTAGTCTTCAAGCCATCACCCACAGTGAACCCCAGTACATAGATATGTCAACATTCACAGCCACTTTTCCCTACATACTGAAGTAGAACGAAAGATTTGACGGTGCATGCACGTTGGTTCTCTTGCAGAATGAATAATAAGGAATTTGTTGCTGATCTTTGAGATGTTCTACTAAGTATTAGTTTGGAGATTTCGTGACTTATCGTTACTTTCTGTCGAATTTCGACCAGGAAGCCTTCTATTTCGGTGCCTTGTGGTTTATAACTTTATGAACTTCAGTAAATGTCATGTTTAAGGCTTTGAGAGGGACCTCGTAGATTATCTCAACTCGTTTTCTTCGATTCACGGACATTCTTCAGTAACCGTCATTAGATACAGATTTACTGTGGCCAAAAGCCATTGCTAAAACCATGCTATTCACTCCCCAACGAGTAATTCGTTTCGAAAGAAAATATAATAATTGCCTAGGTTGTTCTTGCAATACTTCTATAAATATTGTTGATTTATAACTGAAAACTTCAGTCACTGTCATGGTGCTTGGATAGGAGTGGCTATGATATTCTTCTGATTCAGTATGAAAAAAACTGCTTTTAACAGTCTAGTGATTTTTGCTAGAGGGTCAGTAGAGTAAACTCTAAGATGTCTCATTTGTCAATCCAATCATTTTATCAAGTCTATTTGACTTTGGTCTATCTAAAATATTTTATTTTTCGGCATGGCATCCTTATATTTGTCAATAATAAGGACTCTGTAATACAGCTACCTGATTTAATACTGTGTTCAGAGAAGTCTCGAGTGTAAGAGCATCACTAAAGTAGCCGCTTCTCTATATGAACTAGAGAAGGAGATCCTCAAAATTCTTAAGTCCTGTAATTTATTTACGAAATACAGTGCTTTGAAAACTTTCCATGCTGGTGAGTACTCCCTGTTTCATCGATAGAAAAAATTAACTAGTACTTAATAAGACTTTCGATCGTGCAACAGAACAGTCGGGGATTGAGGTTCTTTTTTCTTCAACAGTTAAAGTTTTTCAACATTCAACACAAAATAATAGGAGGTATAATACAAGTACAAAACAAGTAAGTGAATGAATACTTAGGCTTTAAAGTTTCGGCATTACTAAGATTTTTTTGGGCAACTCCTAACCAATTAACCTATGTTGCGGCAAACTCATCTATAGCATCTGTGAATGAATCTCTTATATTGTATATGAGACCCGGTGGAAACGTAATACACCTGTCTTGAGAAGTTTTATAGACCTTCTGCCCTTTGGCGGTAATAGACCACATGATGGTTTTTCAATGTTTTTTTCCTTTTGAAAGGCAAACAGCAGACTTTCCGGTCAGCCAAAAGGAGTAGTTTTTCTCGTCCGGGAAGAAAAAGGTACAAACGTATTTTACTTAGTTGAAGAGCCTATTTAAACGTCTCGAAGTTAAGTTAATACTGATGGGGTTGGTCGTAGTTTATTGAAGGTCCAACACTGAACAAGTTAGTGATTCTCACCTGTGTTGCGAAGTTCTTAAGGAACTCGATTCTGGGAGGAATTTAACGTAATAAATTAGGTTTGTTATTTAAGAGTTGACTTCAGACATCTAAGTATATGTCAAAAAAAGACCTCAAGCATTCATCGGTTTTCATATCGTGTATAGGTATTGTATTTATTATTATCTGATATTGGATATTTAAACATATGTGTCTGAACAGGTAGTATTGCAAACTGACTGAATATGTCCAATATCACCACACTTAAAGCATTTAGAATTACGAAGTGCACATGAATTACATGGCTGAGACTTGCCACGGGACAAACATTCATCATACTTGAGCCCATCTTCGTGAACTGTATTTCAACTCCTCAATGAATTGTTATCTACATAACCTTGAGTATGCACTGATTTGGGATGACGTAATGTGGTAGGATTTTTGATGTCCTGATGAATCATTTTACGAAATTTCCCTCCTTTACTGCAATCAAAATTTTCATCCTTGACATGGTCTATTAATAGATTTTTGAGAGTTGTATAAGGAAGCGATATGAGCTTCTCCTGTAAAACCCGAGTTTTTAATAAACTTTATGCCTCTTTTCCAATGAATGTGAGGAAGTGGGCCACAGTATTGTTATCCTCAATGTCTTTGTTATGTTCGTTAACTTGAATGCTACTACTGATTCGTCTTACTCGAAGCGGAACGAAGAATCAAGCAAACAGAGACTCGATAGGCTATACGGGTACGTTGTCCTCGACTCAGTTAACTCGATCCAGAAGTCTTGGTAAGATGTAAAAAGTGTATTAGACAGACAACCAGAAGATACCAGGTTCCTCAAGCACACAAATCAAGCGTACTTACACAAAATATATATGATCGATATTGCAGTGGAAGTTTTTAAACATTTAATCGGTAAGTTCGTCAATCGGCTATGCGCGTGGGTGATAAGAAATGCCCAAGCATACATCTGCATACAAGCTCCACAAAGATAAAATTATAAAATATGAGTTTTGAAGATCTGACGTCCCCAGCAATCTTCCTTGGTCATAGCCCGGATTTCTAACCTTTCCAAGTAATCCTCAAACGCATCAAAATCTGAATGCATGTCCAACCGTTCCATCACAGGCTCAATCGCTGCGCCAATATGATAATTAGGAGTGTTTAAATTATGGCACTAACTAAGAATCCCAGAAATAACGCAATCGGATCAAGAAGTACAAGATAAGCACGAACGAATGTACTGTATTTGGGATTCGAAATCAAACATTCAACAAGTACAGAGGAATCATTAGTTTATTCAAACACCACATAGAGTCTACTTTGCTACACAAAATTCTCTATCTTCCAAAATGAAACAGTGACTTTTTAAGGAACGAAATCCATTACGACATAACTTCAAGGGCTATCAAGACTAATAACATGAGACAAACATTGTCAATTTACACATTTTCAGAAACATTACTTACACATCTAAAAGAATTCAGTGCAGCTTTTGCGTCCATTTTTAATACTTGAATTTCTATTTCCAGTAAAAGATGAGTAAATTCTAATTAGAATAGTATTTTCGAAGATAATCTAGAAGCATGGAATAGGAGATACCACAATCAAGACGCCTCAAGTAAGGTATTCGGATGACCATTGAGAAGGACGTTAAGAGGTGGAAGAAACAGTTTTTGAACTCAGGCAAAAATGTATAGCCTTGAGATTAATAGTCTGACCATCTAGAAGAGAAGCATCTTACATAAGATTTGTTGAAAAAGACCACATTATTTGACCGAGCACCTACAGAATATATTTAAACATCACTGTTGAACGTCCACAAAGATACTTGTATAGAAAACGTATTCACAGCCATAAGTTTTTGGTAGCTTGTAATGATCACGGAGACATCTTAGTATGTATTTGCAGACTTCAAAATATTTTCAACAACAAGGACGCGGCCAAAGTGTTGATTATGGTACTGACCATTAACGTTCTATTTACCTGCTTGAAGTTAGAACTAAAAAAGTTTATTTTCAGACACATTCGGAGTATCATTGCTAGTGTTGGTTGTCGGTTGAGGAATTATGAGTGTGGGAGTCGTGTTGTGCGATCGTACCGAAGGAAAGTTGACGTCAATAGGATTTCCTTCTAAATACGCTGCTTTTAAGCGATCGATGCTGATGCTATCGTTTGTTCCGTTCTTATCGACTATATAGTACTTAGATTTACGTTGAAGAACTTTGAAAGGTTCTTCGTACGCTGATTCGAATGGTCGTCGATGCGAGCCTCGACGAACGAAAACGTGTGTACTATATCGTAAGTCAGGTTGAACGAAAACATCAGTTGATTGAGGTCGAGTGAAAGCAGGTTTAACTGAACGCATTGCGTTTGTAAGCCTGTTCGTGTAGGAGGTTAGATCAATGTTCATTGAAGAGGATGAAGGATCCACGAATTCTCCTGGAAGTCGAAGTGTCGTTCCATAAACGAGTTGAGCCGCAGTGTATCCAATGTCAGCTTTCACTGCATTGCGGATACCTAGTAAGACTAGTGGAAAAGCGTCGGTCCACTGTTAAATGTTTGCAGCTGATAGTGAAGCTTTTAGTTGTCGGTGAAAACGTTCTACCAACCCGTTTGCTTGTGGATGGTAGGCGGTCGTTCGGAAGCGAGTGATTCCTAAAAGTGTGGTCAGACGACGGAAAAGTTCAGATTCAAACTGACGTCCGCGATCTGTAGTGATGGTTGAAAGGCAGCCAAAATTTGCTACCCATCGTTCAACAAAGGTGCCGGCCACTGTTTCAGCAGTGAGGTCCTTGAAAGGTACTGTTTCTGGCCATCGAGTGAAATGGTCTACGCAGGTTAAGAGGTAAGAGTGTCCATTTGAATCTGGTAAAGGTCCTACCAAATCCAGATGAACATGGTCGAAACGAGCATCAGGAGTTTTAAATGAGCCTAAGGGACATTTATTGTGTCTGGTATCCTTAGACTTTTGGCAGCTTACACAGGAGCGTGCCCACTCCCTCACGTCTTTATTCATGCCAGGCCAGCAAAACCGTTCTGCTATAAGCTTGATGGTTGCACGAACACCTGGATGAGAAAGTTTGTGCAATGTGTTGAAGACATTGCGTCGATAATGTTTCGGCACGATTGAGCGATCGCTACCTGTAGATGTGTCACAAAGTAAGGTTTCGTTACCTGTTCCCATCTGT